GCGTTACATATGTCCTAACCATCCTTATCCCTTGGCACTCGATCGAAGCCTAACCTCAATATTACTCACTCTGTTATACCACCACCTAATACACACGGGAGATAGAACGCAAACGAGCACCTGTGATCAAAGACAGGTAGATTATTTTACGTCTTCCACTTTCAATGACCAGTTCCCACAGCTATAAAGGAGGACGGAGCGAACTGCTGAGCAATACACACGCCTTTTGGTCGATAGCCAGTCGGATGTCACGTCTACGCCAGAGACGGTGTAAAATGGCATGCATATGCGAAACGAGCCTTCTATCGTATAAACTGTAAATCTCCAAGTTTATGCAACATAAGATAAATTTAAATAAAGTATAATTATCTTTCAATAGTTTACACACAATGATAATTATACTTTATTTGATCTAATCCACAATGCTCAAACTTTTTACTGATATTAAGATAAATTTGTCCAGAAACAATCCAGATTTAGACAAACATACAAATGCGGTGATACTCAAATCTCTCCATCATCTAAAATATTCATCAAAATATGCGTACGGGTGTGTGTGTGCATAAAACTTAGTTAATGAGAGACTTCAAAATGAGAACGACTTTATTACAACTCGAAGCATCTGTCTATCTACCTAACTGTACTTATCGGTATTACAACAGTTGACCACCTAAGTGGTCAAGTGGGATAACACAACACTGATCCATCGGTGGTACAATAGTAGGTGAGACGTCTTCACATATCAAGCATGTGGTCAGTCAGTCCGGATTCGACTGACTGACACACCAGGGCATTATTTATTTATTTTAAGCCTTACTTCATTTACTAATCGATAGATAAGTCAAATGTGATGAGGGGTAAGTAATTCCACACGGTAAAAAAACTAAACAGTACCACTACCGCACTGAAACTTCAAAGCTGGAAGACCTGTGTCCTCCCCCCCCAGCCGTCGCCGAAAAACAAAAGAATGAAAAATGAATCATACAGAATAAAACATGTCACATATTCATCTGTGAACAAAGGACATATTCATTGGGTGTCATTCTTTGTTTAGGCTAGTAACAATAGTGATATTAGTGGGTAGTAAGCAGTGGTGTTAACAAAATGTACTTTTATATTGATTTTGAAAGAATGCTTTTTATTGATGTTCGTACTTATGTTTACGCGTGCGTGTATTGGTGTGTGTGGAGAGAGAGAGAGAAAGAGGGAGAGGGGGAGAGTTAACAATGATATGAAGTGGACATCACTGATGGAACAGATAGATAGATAGACAGACAGACGATATATCCACCATCATCAATAACAGCAGGAACAATATAGAATAGAGAGTGATACTGTGCACATAACTCACATCTACCGACCTACCTACCTACCTGCCTGTATATAAAAAGCCAAGTTAAGAGAATGCTGGATACAGAAATATTCAACAAGGTGGTAAAATATTTATATAAGGGATACTAATCAAGGTAAAGGTATGAAGGTATGCCGCCACTCTGTTTGATTTTGAATGACTCAGAGCGGTCACGTGAAGTCAAAATAGAGCAGCGCAAATGTTTTCCAATTCAACGTCAACACAACAGGTATATATAGTACCTTCACCAAAAATGAAAAACTGGTGCTACAAAATTTTAGCTACCTATCTCAACTAATTTAATTTGTGGATGGTGACTAGCAGTAGTGGAATCCAGGATAAAGCGCATTTCGTCCTATTTGGGACTGGCTCGTCAGTCACTGGATGTACCTGCATATCCCAGTCACTGAGTGATGATGTTCCCATCACCGAGACTCGAACCCAGTGCCCTTAGTTTCAAACGCCAAGGCGGGTTATCCATTAGACCACTTGGGCCACGGCAGCTACTCCACCTCTTGTGCAACGAGTCATATTAATTTAATTGAATTTAAGATTTTCCCGTCCATTGATTGGTTGGACCGAAGTGCTCGGTGGCTTCCTGTGCAGATGCTTCGACGATGTCTGCGTATTTAATCACCGTAGTTTGGGTCTCTTCACCAGTATGCACCCACCCACTGCCAGGGTTCGAACCTAAGATCTTCCCGTTACAAGGTGAGCTAGCTCGTAGACCATTAAGTTGACCACTGGGACCCGATCCAATGGACAGGCCATGAATTCTAACTTCTGCCAATTCACACACGACATATAGTGCGATCGTTAGCCAATGTCTTCAGCAAGTATTTTTCCTCACGCCGCACCTGTTGTACCCTACTGGTCACGACTTCCCTTTAGAACCCAGGGGTAACTAACTACCTACCTGAATAGGGTCAATCGCCGCTAATAAGCATCTCATTGATATTCAAGTAATTAGTATGCGGGGATTCGATTGATTGATTGGTTACAGGATTTCATCATCAGCTTGCATAAGTCAGAGAAACACATTGAAAAGCCTCCGAGTGGAACATAAGGCTTCAATAGCACAACAAATTTTTTTGCTTTATCCTACAGGAGATGATTAGTTCCCACTGTGCATAAACAGCTTTGAATACTGTTACTGACATCATGAAAGATACACACTCCTACAGTGTGATCATGGTTATCTTCTGGGTGACTTGCGGATTATTCACAATTTGAACAATTCACTTCCATCGGCATCTGATCTCACAGATTCTGGGTGAACAGCCCTCCCAGCTTCCTACATTGTACGAAAACATTCCACCTCCCAATGCTCATTTTTTTTAAAACTTTCATCGAAAGTAGACAACACATCAGCTAACCGGTTTTTCTGAAGGCTCCCCCCCCCACCAGCTCACACCATTCTGTTTCTCCGACTCCAGCGTAGAATAGATCTATTTTGCTGTGCTTTGATGCTTCTGTAGCAACTGGTTTGATTTTCTAAGACAGAATTTTGCTAGTCCAGCAGCCATCAATCTTCCTTCATTTTCCAGGCGGCTTAGAACTAGCTACTAAACTAATCCTACTCCTTTTCAAATAGTAGATAGATTAAGCAAACACCTGTAACTTATGTCTGAGTCACCTTAAGTGGAGATTTTTCAATTATTTCCCTTATTGTTTTATTCAGGATTCTATGCTTAACTTCTCTTTTGTTCAAGTGGTAGTGTAACGATAGAAGACGAAAGACTTAGTAAAGGAAGAATGTTTGTTTGCACAGTTTGGTATCTCTATATAGTCAAATTATGTTACACCTTATCTTCTTCAACGCGCCATTTACACACAGATCTTCGTGTTGTGATAATTCTGTCTTCTCTTCATATTATGTGTGTTTCTTTGTGTTCCTTTCACTTCGGCTTCCATATATCTTCACAACTCTGCGTCATTTGCTTCCTCTGACATCAAATCTCTCTGCCTCCCTGCCTATTTGGTGTTTTTATGTCGGCCGATGAACGTCTGTTTATATACTACTACTACTACCTCTATAATTTTAATGCCCATGTTTCGTAGCCAAAAAAATAATCAATACATGTAGTGAAACAGTAGAATACGGTAATACTTGGTATAAGATTGTATATTTGACAAGATGGTGCACCGAATGAATTAATTAATTTTAATAAATTAATTAATACTTGAATATCAATGAGTCGCTCACTAGCGGCGACTGGGCCTATTCAGGCAGGTAGTTAGTTACCTGGGGTCCTAGTGAGAAGTTGTGACCAGTAGAGTGCAGCAGGTCGGGTATGAGGACAAATACTCGCCACCGAAGACATTGGCTAGCGGTTGCGCTATATCGTGATGGTGGTGGACGTTAGAATTCATGGGCTGGTCATTGCACCGCGTCTCAGTGGCTTAATGAACTACGAGCTCGTATTGTAACCAGAAGATCCTGGGTTCGAACCCTGGTGGTGGCGGTGGAGTGGCTGCGTACTGGTGAATAGTCCCAAACTAGACTGACGTAACAGCTGTCCAGTACTCCCTGTTGGTTTTCCAATGATTCTCTAACCAATATCAGCTCATGATTAAATCCTGTAACCAATCAACTAAATCCCTACAAAACCAATATTTGAATTAATATTAATTCACAGGCTGTTGGATTCTGTCCCAGTAGTGGCTGAATAGATAACTTCTCCTCATAAAGAAGAGTAGATCCTGGGGTTAGATACCTGGTGGAGTGATGAACTGTGACAAAACAGCCATTCAGTACCCGTCATCTTCAGTGATTATCAAACAGAAATCAGTTTGTGATCGAACTGGAAAACCGATGAAATCCCTACAAACTAACTCTTCCTTTACGTTCCCAGTGGAACTTAGCGGGGTTTAAGCTAGAGGCTTGTAGTTTCTGTAGTAGTGGTGCTTATTTTTACGGGATGAGGTTGCTAACCAGCCTCATGCCCAACCTTCCCTCTTTACCAGGCTTATTACCGGGGATTGAACCCCGGACCACATGACACGTGGTTGGCGAGCATTCTACCGCTCTACCGACCACCCATGTGTATATAGTCATGGCAAAATACAGGAAGCTTACATTGGAATCCCCATTTCCACAGGTTCTTCGTTTTTTGCCTTTTGCCTTTTGTTTTCATCTTATGCTTTCTATATTCATTTGCAAAGTCGTTTAGTTTCACCTCTTCCAAACTTAATCCGTCATTGACTAGTCAATATTTTCGTAGATGACATATCAATAGGCAATATACTACTTACAAACTAGTAGCACATAGTGGTTCCAATGAGTAGTCTTTCTTGGATATCCGCGTCACTAAAATGACACTATTTGATAAAAAATCTATAAAGAACGTAATTTACCCATGCGTATATGACAATATTTCATCAGTTACCAACTTGTCAATGAATTCATCTACAAGGTCTGAAGCTTCCATAGTAGCGGTGTTCTTGTCTTTACGTGGAATGGAGTTGCCAGACACACTCAATCTTCCATGTTTGATGGGCTTATTATCGATTATAAGCGAGGTTAAGTAGTGCATTGGTCGATAGTCGAACTCTAGACCACATGTGTATGCTCAGGAAGCATTCAACCAATGCACGCTTTATAATGATATTAAAGTATAAATAATAATAATAATAGTTTTCAACTTACTGTGCATCTTTATCATGATAAACTAATTCTTGAGCACATTTCATTGATTCACCAGATACACCTAAACGTTTACGTAGTAATATTGCAGCTGCAGGTGGTGGTGTAGTCACCTCAGTATTAGGCAGTGATGGTGATCCAGCTGCAGTAGATGATGAAGTCGATGAAGAAGGACTGTGTGATTCATCTTGATCTTTTTTATTATTATGATCACCAGTATCAGCAGTAACCGTAGTAGCATTAGCTGAAATGGTAATAGTAGTAGTAGTGGTATTGGTCGTAGGAGCAGCAGCGGTAGCAGAAGTAGAAGTAGCAGTTTCGGTTGATGCATCTTCACTAATAGGTAAAAGATCTTCACGAGTAACTTTCGAATTATCAGCTGACGGTGAGAGATTTGATTCTTCCTACATTAAAAGAAAAAAATTAAGATAAAAATAAACAAGAGTACGTTAAAGTGTATTAAATAAAGCGTGTAAACATAGTATAGTGATATTCAAGTGTTGGTTTGTAGATATTGGATTGATTGATTGATTGATTACAGGATTTCATCATGAAGTGACGTCGGTTAGAGAACCATTGGAAAACCTGTACTGCAGAGCTGTTCCATCCTAGTCTAGGATTCTTCAGCAGTGCACACTCACTGACAGGGTTCGGAGCCAGGACTTTCCGGTCTACGAGCTTACCTTGTAACCAGAAGGTCTTGGGTTCGAAACCCCGTAGGGTTGGTGCGTACTGATGAAGAGTTCAAAACTAGGACGGGGGAAACAGCTGTCCGGTACTCCCAGGTTTGTCGGCGACCATACCACGTTGAAAGCACCGGTTCTCGTCCGATCACCGAAGTTAAGCAACGTTGGGCCCGGTTAGTACTTGCATGGGTGACCGGCTGGGAATACCCGGTGTTGCCGGCTTTCTTTTTGAGTCGGTGGCACAGCGGTTAGGACGCTTGTCAACCATGCAAGTGGTCCGGGGTTCGATCCCCGACCATTGGACGACGCACTCCTTTACCTCGCTAAGCCAGTAGTGAGACTGATAAAAGGAAAGGTTGGGCATGAAGCTAGCAATCCCATCCTGTAAAAATTAACACTGCTACAGAAACTTCAAGCCTCTAGCTTGAAGGCCTATGTTCCACTGGGAACGTGAAGGTAAAAAAAGAAATATCATAGTATTAATTGAGAATGCAAAGCCAATACATCTATCCATTTAAGCATTTTGAACATACGAAAAATGATGTCACATCCCACTACTGTATTTACCAATTTGAATGTATATGTGTGGACACACATATACATAGAAGGGAGGACTCATCGATCTCCGCAAGCAAGGGCTGGTTTCAGAGCATATTCCTAAGTGGCGCCAGAAGCAAATAGAATCCCCAGAACCTATTAATGGATGGTTCCAGTGGCTTAATGGTCTACGAGCTAGCTCGCCTTGTAACCAGAGGGTCCTGGGTGGTTCGAACCCCCGTAGGGTTGGCGCGTACTGCCGAAGAGTCCCAAGGTAGGACGAAACACCTGTCCAGTACTCCCAGCTGGTTATTCAATGGTTTTCTAGCCAAAGTCAGCTCATGATGAAATCGTATTATTTATTGATTTATTTATTACAAGTTCGACCGACCAGTGCTGAAGTACACCAGACAGCTGTTTCATCATCATCCTAGTTTGGAAGTCATCGGGGCAGTAAGCACCTACCAATACAGTTCACCTCGCCTAGTTAACCAGCTCGCTAGTTTTCAAGCCGGTCGCAAACCCGGGTAAGAGGGGAAGGTTGGGTGTGGGGCTAGCAGCCCCTTTCAAACTGCTAGAGAGACTTTAACACATAGAAAATATATTAAAAATACAAAAACTTCAAATAAAAATCTTATTCTTCGCTCGAGTCGGAGAGGTGGAATGACACGGGCTGGTGAAAGCCTTCAGGAAACCATTCAGCCGATGTGTCTTCTCTCGATGAAAGCAAGAATAAGAATGGGTACGTGGTATGTCCGTACAGGAAGGCTGCCCAGGTAGCTAAAGAAATGCGAAGATATGGCTTAGAAGTACTAGGTATCTGCGAAAGCAGATGGAATGGATGTGGATTGACAATATTGTCAACGGGAGAGTCAATAATCTACTCCAGTCTGGTCACCCAGACGACAACCATGAACATACTGTGGAAAAGAGTGGCTATCATAATGTCACCAGTAGCAGTTAGAGAGAAAACCAACAAACTGGCTGAAGAGGCAGCGAAAATAGGACTCCAAGTGAGCAGAGAGAAGACTGAGGTGATGAAAATAACCAATCAACAGCAACGAGAGAGATTTAACAGAGGATTTCTTCTTCACTTATCTGGGAAGCGTCGTCCCAACTAAAAGCGGAACAGACGGAGATATCAAAGCCAGCTAGAATCGGATAGGCAAGATACGCCTTAATCAACCTGAAACAGTTTGGAAATCTTCTGCACTCAGAATTAGGAACAAGATCCGCATTTTCAACACGAATATGAAGTCAGTCAGTCACTCCTTGTATATGGGTCAGAAATTTGCACTGAGTGTAAGTCACGAAAAGGATTTCCAACAGGCCAGTGCAGACTTTCATCAACAGCTTCCACCTTCGTTGACTCAATACTGAAGATCAAACGGCCAGAAAGAATCAACCAAGAGCCTGTCATTCAACAAATATGTAGGAGAAAATGGAGATGAATTAATCGGGCATACGTTGAGGAGACCATCGAGTGACATCGCGCGCAATGCAGACTATCGCTCGTGACAAGTGGGTCGTCGGTGCGAGGGCGAAATGGAGGAGATCATGTAAGGAAGAGATGAGAAAGTTTGGTCAATCGTGGAGCCAGCTGAAGAGGACAGCAGAAGACAGAACAAAGTGGAGATGTGTTGTTGAAGCCCTCCCTCCTATGTTCCACTCGGAACGCAAGGGAATAATAATAGTAATAATACTACAGTTCGAATCCAGGACCTTTCAGTTACAAGGCAAGCTAGCTGATAGACCATTCGCAAATAAACATTGCTCTGTCAAGTCTCTTGTCTTCTGCCGTTACAATAGTATCAATAAAGCACACCCTAGCCTAAATTTAATTGTGACACGGGGAATATCGACAACTCGCCTCCCTTCTAGAGGAATACAAATCATTCCCCCTTTCAGGGAAAAAAATACCCCACAACACACACATACACATAAACACAGAAAGAGGATAAATATTCTTATGAGTTGATCACGGATTGATATCAGTTAGAGAACCATTGAAAACCAGCACTGGAGTACTGGACAGCTGCTGTTTCATCCTAGTTTGAGACTCTTGAGCAGTACGCACCCACCGGGAGTGGAACCCAGGACCTACTGATGACAAGGCAAGCTCGTATACCATTCAACCACTGGGACCTGATTCCTTAATGGCCACTGACCATGAATTCTAACTTCTACCAATTCGTGATTTAGCGCGACCTCAACCATTGTCGTTGATGGGACATCCATCCTCACACATGACATCTCCATGGACCTCACTGGTCACGACTTCTCACTAAAACTAATTCCAGGAAACTCCATCCTGTAACAAGTCACTAGCAAACTATAGGATAAATATTCACCAAAATAATACTTCAAACTAATTTAATTAATCCAATTCCGGAAATCTGTTCGCAAAATAATAATCATAATAATAATAGTTTGACAAGCTAGTTTTATTCAGCTTTCAACTAACTAAACAACAACAAAAAAACACGTGAAAAGATGAAAACAAAAGGGGAAACCTTGACTTTCTCTCTGTCCCTCTTTCTGTGTTTGTGTGTGGGTGGGTGGGCGTACATCCTAAAACTGATTATAAATTAAACTAGAAAAACAATAACCGAAAAAAAATGTCAGTTATCAACGATCCAATGGTTAGACAAAGCCGTTACGCTGGGTGGGGTGGGGTGGGGTGGAGGTTGAGCGTTAAATAATTAAAAATTCATGCATTTCAAGAAGGAAAAAAACAACCTAAAATGAATGAATTCAGATTTTTCACATCTTTTCACGTCGATTGGAATAAAAAATTATTCACTTTAACGAGAGAAAGAAAATAAACAATAACCATCCCTGAGAAACATGGAGGAAAAAGGCATTTATATGGGAGAAAAACACCGAAAAAGTACCCACAATGTGACTGTGATCAAAATGCCTCTACCCTTTTCAAAACGATACATATACGAGTTTGGCCATGGATTAATATTTTTTTATTTTTATTTTTATTTTTTTGATTACAGCTTGATTCCACACCGTATTTTTGGTACAACTATGGAATTCTCATCATGTTCTATCGGTAGCCCGAATTTTGCAGGCCGACCATAGATATCAGATGTGCGTCAGCAGGGAATCGAACCTTGAACCATGTGCATGGTCAGCAAGAGTCCTAACCACTGTGCCACCAACGCACCATAGAAAACCAGTCAGGGAGTACTGAAGAAGTGTTTCATCACCCTAGTTTGGAAATCATCGGTAATACACACCTACTGCCAGGGTTTGAATCCAGGACCTTCTGGTTACAAGGCGAGGCAAGCTAGCTCGTATGCTATTCAGCCACTGGTTGGAAGCAGTCGGCCACAGCAACCCTTCGACCACCTAGGTTTTATGCTAGTTGGCAGTGACTAAGCAGTCAGCAGGATAGGCGTATCTGCATCTGCCTTGAAGGAATTTATGTCTCCTCGGAGATTCGAACCAACGTCGTCACCCAGTTCTGCAGTGCCAACTGGCATTAAGTGTAGGTCAGGTGAGGCTTCCTGTGGAGCTGATTGCCTCCAACCATCTTAAATGTACAATTCAAAGTGCACTATGATGGCAAGTCACCCCCTACTGACATGGTGACCACATTGCAAACTTGACTGACAGAATTCAGTCTGCATCAAAGAAAGGAGGACTAGGCACACTATACTAACTAGTCACTGGGCTAGAGTCCAATATATATATATAATTCCATATTAATTTGTTTATTATATGGACATATCACACAGTCAGTGGAACAGTATTATCATTTACTGGATGACAAACTTTCGAATACAATTTATTTATTGTTCATAATCACAGCATCAATTACACAACTTAAAAACTTTCGTTTCGTAGTTTTCTTTATCCCCACCTATTCGTCGTCGTCGTAGGGGTAGTAGAATTTTCCAGATGTCCGGGTGGACAGGTGTTGAATCATTCTTATTACACGTATTCTCCTCAATTGATTCTGTAAACAAAGCTTCCGTTATCAATCTCTCCCTTCACCCTGCTACATCGGATTCTAGAAATATCACTTTATCCCATCATCCTATTGTATAGTTGGTTGTGTGTAATTGCATATAGTGAGTGCCATAGCAGAACTAACTATTCTTCAGATTTCTTATCTTATCTGAGTTAACCAGTCCAGATTTTGCTGCTAGGTTTTTATGCTCCGCAAA